TCATAAAATTACATGGTTTTACAAAAAAATTTCCAGTTGTTTTTACTAATGAACTTTAAAATTCAATATCTCAGTAATTAGTAAATAAAAAAAACCAATCTATTTTTTATTTGAAAAAGGAATAGAGTGTCTTTTATTTAAAAAAAAATTTAAATTAATTATACTCAAAATTATAAAGTTACAGGACCAGTGACAAAACTTTTCAAATGCCCCACGTATATTAATAAATTTAAAGTTGAAACTATATGTGTGTATATATACATATACATACATATATATATATATATATAATAATGAATAATTTTTACATTAATTTATAAACTTTCCCTAGCAAAATTCTATTCTTAATACGTAATAATATATAGAAAGCATACCTAAGTGACTGGGTTCTGTAATTACTTGTAAAAAATAATTATTTGTTTCAATCAATACGAATGACAATTTTCTACACATGAGATCATAGAAACAAAAAAAAAACTAAGGTTGTGATTATCTACGGTTTTATTAACAACCTGCCTCAAAAATTTTCATGAAATAGATGTATACTATAAAGAAACTATATATCAAATTTGGTGATGATTGCTAAACAACAAGGGCATTAAACTGGGGTTTGAAAGTATTCAATTGTAAATTTTACTATGAAAAATTCGATGCCGATCATTAAAATTCACTATGTTTTTGCAGTAGAAATAAATTTGTGACATGTCCTACGACTGATATATTAATATACATTTGCTGACTAAATTCCTCACATTAAAAAATGGCTTTACCGTTACCCTCACCAGCAATTCTAGTTAATAATGATAATTCAAATGACCAAATAATTACGGAAACTACAATTGCACAATCTAGTGCAGTAAATGGCAGTACCCTTATGAATAGTAGCTCTACTTCAACATTATCGTTACGTATTTATTCTTCAACACCTCAACCAGTAAACTCAACATCGACCTCTGCACAGCCAATACCACCATCAAGTGATAAAGTAACAGCGGTTTTTGATTTTACTTCAACTGATCCGCTTTCTTTAGAAAATAGTCGAAAGTCTGAGGAAGAAATTAGAAAGAATAAGAAAAAAAAGATACAAAAATTTTATAGAGATCAGAATGAACTCATTGATGAGCTATTAAGTCCAATTGAACAAAAGTCCAGTGCTAAATCATTAAAAAAACATAATTTAAAGGTGAAGAAATAACTTCCACCATAATATGTAATATCTAATTATAATAACATTTTTATTCATTTTATAGTTGAAAATAGCAATATATGGATCGATGTTTGTGAATGTATGTTTATGTGCTTTACAATTATATGCTGCAATATCAACTAAATCGCTTGCATTGTTTGCAACTATGGTGGATTCTTGTATGGATTTATTGTCAAATGGTATTCTATTATTTACTGGTAGAGCTGCTAATCGCAAAAATCTTTTAGTATATCCAACTGTAAATAAACATTATATATATATATGTATGATGTAAATTATTAAATTATATATTTTACATATGTAATTTATGTATTATAATTATTTATATTATAAAAAGGGAAAAGCGAAAATGGAAACAGCAGGAATTATTGTATTTTCATCACTTATGATAGCTTTATCAATTGAAATATCAATTGAAGCCATCAAAGCACTGATTAATCATGATAATCCTCCTGAAGTCTCAGAGATTGCCATAATTTGTATTGGATGTGCATTAGGTAAGTGAGTGATGATTGCGGTGTTGGTGATATGTCAGTAATATATAATATATAAAAATCTAATAATACATATAATCTATTAATAATGTGAAATATATAAAATCTAATATACTACAACTATAATTGTGCCAATTAAAGGGGCAAAATTTATATTATTTTTATATTGTTATAGTTTACGAGATAATGCATCATCTCAAGCATTGGCACAAGATCATCGAAATGACTTGGTGATAAATAGTTTTGGATTAACCATGTCATTGTTATCAAGTAGAATCGAGTGGTGGATAGATCCTGCTGGTGCTATTACAATATCTTTGTTTATATTAAAAAGTTGGACTACTACAGCTTACGGTATTTTTTTTTTTTTGTAGAGAAGATAAAATTGATTTTTTATTTATAAGGTGAAGTTTTATTATTATTATTTTATTAGAACAAATTCAATTAATTGTTGGTAAGAGTGCAAGTCGAGAGTTTTTACAACGTGCAACTTATATAGGTAAGAAAGAACAAAAATATGAATCAATAAAAAAGTATTATAATATAATAACCATTCATCTTCCTTCTTCTCTTTTAACACACCCTGATGTGTCTTTATCAGCGTTAACTCATCATGAAAAAATATTACAAGTCGATACTTGTAGAGCATACCATTCTGGCTACAAATTATTTGTTGAAATTGATATAGTGATGGATCGTGATACACCATTATGGGAAAGCCATGACGTTGGCGAGGGCCTACAAAACAAATTGGAGAAATTAGCTAATGTTGATAGAGCCTTTGTACATGTTGATTACGAGTCAAGTCATAAACCTGAACATCAAAAAGAAGAATAATTTTTTTAAAAAATAACTTTTTTTTTTTTTTTGAAAATTCATTAGTAACGAATAAATTAAATATACGAAAACATAAAATAATTTTTCCATGCATAATATAAATATATGATTGTTTTCATGTTTTCAAATATATTTATTTGAGTAAGAGTCTTACGATTACCAAGGTTTTTGTTTTTAGATCCCTCCCATAGGAAGATGAATGAAAGTGTTCAAAGAATTTAATTCTTTATTAACTCTTTAAATAGGATGCAATTGCTATATTTGTTATTGAGAATTATATTGATTCTTTTTAAAATCAAGATTGAAAGTGATTGTTGAACAAAGAATAATAATATTCTAAATCATAATAATTTTTCGCAATAATAATGGTTTTTTTTACAAATAGTTAATTATCCTTTAAAAAAAGTCTATAATTGATAATGTGAAATCATCCTAGAAATTTTTTGATTTACTCTCTGTTTCAAAAATCAACATCCGCCATAATTTCATTACAAAGAGCTCTGATTCTTCATCTAATGTCTATTGAAAAAAACAATAGAATAATTAATTTCTTTTAAAAAACAAGCAAACAAATAAATTCAAAATCTAAATACCATTTCCATTTCTTTTATTAATTGTGATGCAGATTTTTTACTACGAAGATGATCCATTACAAATGAAACCAACTCATCTTCTTGCACACCAAGATATTCTACTATTTTTTTACTAACAAATGGCTTTAATTTCTTATCAATAATTGCCTATAAAATAAAAAACCAAATCAACAAATAATAATTAAATTTTTATTTTATTAGTTACAATTAATGAAGGTTAATCACCTCATCCAACTCTTCCCATTTAACATTCCATTTCCATAAACCTTCTTTATTAGTAGGAATAATTTCTACCAAATCTTTGATCTTTTTTCTTCTTTCCTCATTTTTCTTTTCATCATCATCATCATCATCGCTATACTCCAATGGAACCAAAACTCTATGTTTTCTCCTATGTTCACTCTCATCATCATCATCATAATATTCTTCATCCTCAGCTGGTGCAATAACAGCAGGACGACGTTTTGAAGAAATGTTCAGTGTGAGCTTAGCCTTAATATTATTGTTTTGTGAAACACTAGATGCTGCTATTAATGAGGAATCTTTTTTGGAAATTTCTTCAGCCTCCATGGCTTTTATTTGTTGTCTCTTTTCTTCTTCAATTGTATGCTCCCATTCTAATCGACGTTTCTCTGCCTCAATCTCCTGTTGCTCTTTCTGCCTATCTTGTTCGTCCATAGCTAGTTCACGTGTTCTATATTGTTGTCTATGAAACCACCAACGAGATCTATGTGATACAAGTGATTAACTGTAAATCATATCATCAATTAACTGATTAATTCTTAAAACACCAGACGCAACTAACCTATCTCTATAATATTCTTCTTGTCCTGTTTCTGCCTCAATATCATCATCCAATTCAGACAATTTTCTTGCCATTAATTCACGATCACGTATTTGTTTTTCTCGAATATTTAACTCACGTTCTGAATCACGCTCTCTATTTCCTGCAATAATTTCCTCTCTATGTTGCCAACGACGTTCCCTCTAGAATAACAATAAAATAACAATAAATTATGTATATATGTAGAAGATTCACGTCTTCAAATAATAATAATAATAATAATAATAATGATAATAATCTTACTTCTTTAAAAGCCATTTCCATTTCAGTTTTCCTTTTTGCCTGTCTTCTTTGTTCCTCTTCTTCATCGTCAAGAATATATGACTCACGCCTTGACTCTTTAGCAGGAACAAAATTAATAGGTTGGTTATGATATGAACGTTCTTTGTTCTCCCTATGTTCTCTATCATGAGAAGAACGTTCTTTAGATTGTTCAGCTTTTGCACGTCTATTTGAGCGTTCCTCTTCTTCGCGTTGACGCTCCCGCTCTCTTGCAGCTGCACGTTCTCTGAAAAATGCTATCTCTCTATAAATGAGATCTTTTTGTTCTGGTGGTAAATCTGATGGCAAATCTGTTTCTTCATTTTTTTCTGTTGATTCAATAGGGTTTTTTTGTTCAATAAATTGTGAAGATTTTATATTATTATTGCTATTGTTATTATCATTAATATTATCTAGTTGTGGTGGTGGTGAAACTGGTTTTTCTTTTACCTCTTGAGGTGGCTTGGTCATTTCCTCTACCACATTTATAACAGCAAGTAATGCATTTTTATCAAGTTCAGTATCATGCTGTATATAAACGTGTTTATAATAATTAGCATTTGTTTTCAGTTTATAAATTAATATATTTTAAAAAACAAACCACTGTTCTTGGTCTTGATGCTTCATATTGATCCAAATATTTTCTAGTGTTTTCATCAACTTTAACCTATAAACACATACATGTTCATAATAATCCAAATTGTTAAAATTGACATAATTTTGTTTTCTTTTTTTTTAAAATAAAGAAAAAACTTACTATTAATTTTTTTTTGGTAGCACCTTCTTCCAATGCAGGTAATATAACTCCTTTATCTTTTTTATCATCACCTCCAAGAACACGTAAAGCTCGTAAAACACTATCAGCGTCTGTATATTCAGCAAAACCAAAACCTTTGGGGTTTCCTGATTGATCTTTGACACGTTTCCAAGATTTTAGTGTACCACAAGTCTTTAAAATTTTTCATCAATGTATATATATATATGCATATTTAATTATTTTTATGAAAATGATCGATAATACAAAAATTTTTAAAATTTAAAAGATCAGCTATTATGTTAAAAAAATTTGCACACCTTTTTTTTTTAAAAAAAAAAAAAGAATTATTTCCCAAGTAAATCATATCAAATTTTTAAAAATTTTGAATTTAAATTCTCAAAAGTTATCTGTCAAAGAAAATCTTTAGCGACTAAATTGCAGGTATATATGTGTGTATTGATGGCCTTTATAATAAAGGAATATGATCAAACCTCCTAGTACATTGTTCCTCTAATAGCCTATATATATATATATATGTGTGTGTGTGTGTGCGTGTGCGTGTTCAAACAAGGTATTTTTTCCCTTTAATTTCATACAGATTTTTGATTTTTTTTAAAGTATCATCAACTTTTGTTGACATAATGTCAATCAATATATATACGTATAATATTTTTTCTTGCTCCCAACCAAATCTAATATAATTCATGAAACAATACCTTTAAAATTTTTTCCATCCAATCATCAATAACACCGGCGGATATCCCACCAATAAATAGTGTTGTTAATTTTTCTACTTCCGATCCTGGAGTGGCAGCCATATGACCTGTATTTCCACTAATTTGCATATGTCCATAATTTGGTCTATAATTTGGTCGAATGTAATTTGGTCTTGTGGATTGTTGATGTACATAAGATTGATTAGCTGGCGAAATAAAAGATTGACGTTCGTATGGCGGTCGGTATTGATCTATTAAGTTTTAAATTTTGAAATAAAGCATAAAGCTCCTTTTTTTATTTTTACTATATTATTATTCTGCAAATAATAGAAAATAATAGTTACTGTAAGTTGGTGGTCTGAATGGATCCATGATTATTATGGATTTTAGAATTATAAAAAAATTTTTTTGTTTATAAAATTCACAGTCACACAACATAGTATGTTTGTGTAACACATTCTATAAAAATATCCCAATTTATCTCGTCGCCTGCAGGATTCGAACCTGCGCGTCCAATGGACAATGGCTTAGCAGGCCACCGCGTTAACCACTCCGCCAAAGCGACTAGTTTTGCTTAAATTAGACGAATAAATTCATTAAAAAGTTTATAAACATTCCAATGTTCAATTGTGCAACATTGACGATCTGCAATGCATGTCCAATAAAGTATTCCTGTTGGAATATGGAATTTCTAAATACTGTAATGATAGTCAAAAATGATTGGCTGATTTTATGCAGATCTTTTCTTTGAAAAAATAAAAATAATGCTTTTTATGAAGAAAACTTGGCAAAGGCTTTATTAAATGGTCATATAACCTCCAAAATTATGTATTATATTTATTTTTAACTGCTTTACAAGTCTATCAAAAAATAATCAATAGCTTCAAATTATAATTATAAAATTACCATAAAAACTCAATAACCTTTTTCATAATACTGATGAAATGTTTGAGTTATCATTCATCAGGAATCTTGTTATTAAAATTAATAAAATTAATAAATAGTATCATGAAATATAAAGCTTTTTGGATATAAATAAAGTCTATGCCAAATTTTGTATGTGTGTTTATATATATATATTTACTTCTTTACCTGCTTATCTAACATTCATTCGTTGTTTGTGAGTCAGGGAACTGTATAATTCTCACATAAAATAGTCTTTGACTGCAATCAACTACTAAACCCAGTGTAATTGATTCCTAGCCCTTCTAATGATTAATGGTCTGGCTAACCTTTAATTATTAGTTGGGACCCCTTATAATTATTAACATATTGCCAAAGGGATGCCTTTGAAATATAAATGGATACATTAACTTAAGGACCTTTTACCCAGGCTTCGGGTTGTAAGTTATTGGCTGTAAATCAGAGGTTCTAGGAAAACTAGACATGTGCTATAGGTAGGCTATCTAGTAGTGCTCCATGTTGAAATCCAAAAAAGGAAACAAAATGGTTGTAAAGGTGGTTGCAACCAGTAGTTGCAATCATTTTTATATGATACAAAGATGGTAGCAACCATCATCAAAAGTTGCAGCCAGTATCCTTAGGTGCTGTATTAAGCAGAACTTAGGCCTTTTATTGGTACAGTGTATAGATGCTGGTCACAATTCTTGGTGATGGTTGCAACCATATTTGCGACATATAAAAATGGTTTGTGACACCTGGTTGTGACCACTTTGGTTTCCTTTTTTGGATCGTGACATGGAACACTAACTAATATATATGACAATACTGCTGTAAATACTAGAAATGCTCTTCAAAATTTGACTATGGTGCAAATGAATGGTACTAATAGTTTTAGACCACATTCTTCAGGATTTGTTTTTGCAAATCATCCTGTAAATAATGCAGATATATACTAGCTAAAATGGTGCCACATCAAGCTTTTGAAGAAGATTGGACTAATACTGGTGGAGAACCTACAGATGAGCCACCTAGATTGGCTGAAATAATGGCACTGTTCCTATAATATTACCTGGAATTCATCTTGGCCAAGCTATTTTTTATCTTAAAAATCAATATCCTACAGTATTAGAAGAAAGACACAAAGTACAATTTGGTAATCTTGATCAAGGTAATGATCCAGTTAAAACTTTCTATGAAAAAGTAAAAAAATACAGTAATTTACTAAATTTCAGTGATGAAGTAATCAACCATCAATTCTTTAGGGGGCTATCACCAGACAATCAGGTTGAAGTAGAACGAATTGGTTCTGAAAAAGCTGTAAGTGAATTATTTAAAAATTTAGAGAGTTGAAAAATGAAAATCAGCAGTTGTATCTGCTGAATGGTATTCACCAATTATTCACCAATTATCCAGTTAATTGGGTATTGAAAATTTTTCATTGATTAATTAATCAGGTGTTGAAAATTTCCACCAAATAATTGGTGAATAATCAGTGGTACAGAATATCCACGTAATTAATTTTATCACTATTACATTCTTTAATGACAGCCAAATGAACAAAATTGAACCCATTATTATTTGAAAGAGTTGTACATCCGGAAAATATAAAAAAATTTTACATGTGTCAATTGTAAGTTTAATAATAAAAAAGTGTAAAACTTACGTCGGCATCGTAAGATTTATCCAAGTTTACACTATTTTCCTGATGAATAAAAAAATTTTTTTTTAAATAAATTTAATATTTAACAGATATTCAGTGAATATTCAGTGAATAACCAATTATCTGGGTGTTGAATTCTATTGACTGACCAATTATCCAAATGTTGAGTTTTATTGATTGACTAATTGCTCAAACACCCAGATAATCAACAGATACAACCACTAACAAAAATCTGAAATGAGATTGGGTGTATCAAAGAGAACTGGAGCTACTGACCATCAAGCTCAAATACAACCTACATATCAATTGTCAGAATCATATAAACCAAGTCCTTCTGGATTTTGCAAAAATTCCAACAGCACCATATCAAAAAATGATGATTTGCAAATAGCCTGAGAATCTGCAAAAAATACTACTGATGAAATTCTTAATAAGTCTGCAACTTCAAGCAATAAAATAGTTGATTCTCCTGAAATTACTAAGGCAGAAAAAATACACAAACTTCTTGATAATTATAAAGCTTCATTAGATGAAATGGACTTAAATTACAAATCCAATATTAATAGAATAGTGAATAGAATTGCTGAAAGACTTGAGCAAAGGAGACTTGATAAGGAAATTGCTAGTATTTCTGGTGGAATTAATACTCTAAATATTAACAATCCTGTTCCTGGTCCTATAGATACTTCTAATTTGATACATGAAATTGCAACTGATGATGATGAATATACTCTCCGATTTGTTCGAAAAAAAAAGTAATGGAAAACTAGCCTTCTACTAAGACTAAGGGTGGGAAAGAATCTAATTCTTGTAAGGAAAATAAAGGACTATCAATTGATAAAAATTCGATTAAAATTATTCACAAATTAATTATAGAAGAATTGACTTGTTTGGGGTTATTGCAAAGTGAAGGCTCTTATACACCATCTCTGTCAAAAGAAACTTCTAAGCCTAGTGAATTCATAATGCCACAAATTTTCAATAATTCTATGGATATTGATCTTGTAAGGATTGAAAATGCCAAAGATTTAACTGCTATAGAGGGACAGATAGAGGGAGGATCATTGTCAATTCATGTTCTAACATCTCTTGGATGCCTGAGGAAATTTGTAAAGAACTTATTATAGTTGGCTTGGTCTAAAGACCTCCTAAATTTTGGGCAAATTTTAAAAATATAGAAGTCACTTTCTGTCCTACCTTTTAAAAAAATAGCTCTATTGGTTGTCTTTAGTTTTAATGTAATAGAGATTTTCGCAAAAAATTATTTGTCATGGAGTTCTATTCTTTTTTAAAACATGTACTTTACTATGCTCGCGAGGAATTTGTCCGCTATGATCATTTCTAAATTTAGGAAAATATTACCAAATTTAGACTAGTTCTTGACTATCGTATCTAAATTTGGCAGTAAGAAAACTAAAATCACGTGAAGTCCTATTTTCTGAAAAATTTTATTACATTTTTGAACGAATTACAAAATTGCTATTTTTGAAATTGGTCGCATGGCGCAGCAATAGGAGGTCTTTAGACTGAGCCAACCATAGCAAAAATCCGGAATTGACTCTTGATACAAGTAAAATCCATAGGCTTATTGGGGCATCAACAAAAAATAGATCAATAGGGATGATAAAAAATATTTGCATAACTGTAGCTCCTGGATGCAATATATATGAAGATTTTGCAGTTATTGCAGATTATCCTTACTGAGAAGTACCTTTGAGCTGAACTTGCCTTAGGCGGTATAATTATGATTTACTTGAATATAGAAAACATGTAGCATTTACCTATGATGGAAAGGACTTCTTTATCCCATTCATTCCTGATGAAAATAGACAAAAAAATAAAAGTCATAAATCTTTAGTCTTGCAGGCATTAGAATAAAAAATAAGATAAAGGAAAAATATTATTTTTTTGTTATGCTCTATTAGCTCCCAGGAATTCATTTACAAGATTAGGCGCATCCTCTTAAATCTATTTGCTGGTTCCCAAGTTGATTCATTCTCAGGATAATGTTGCCATTTAACAAGATATTGTTTTTTACCTTTATAAGTTCTTTGCCTAAGTATTTTTTCAGGAATGAAATTATCTGGATTGCCACGAATAACTGAATCTGGATGACGGTTCTCATTATCCAGAACCACTTGGAGTTGTTTTCTAATATAAGCACAACAAGATATGCCTAACTTGCCCTGAGGACCATCTACAAGGTATGTAGGGGGCTGCCCAGGAGTAAGCATAAGTTTCTTAATAATTCGAATTTTTGGATCCCATCTAATGTCTCCTGTATGGAATTTGCCATGCAGTTTTTGACCAAGAACAGACATAGGCTCAAATAGCATAACTTGAACTTGAGTACCCTCCAGCAATAATTTGTCTTTTTCTGATATTTTAGGAGGTCCTTCTGGAATAGGAAGAGGATCATGTTTCCATTTCTTTCTAAGGGCCTCTAGCACAATTGGATAATCTTTGGACCATTCTACAGAAGTTATTCCTGTTTTCATTTCCTGTGCAGTCATTCGTTCTGTAAGAGGTTCCATAAGAGCTTGATTGGCTTTTTCAGCAAAACACTGTTGTTGATGTTTTCCAGGAAATCCAAACTTCATTAATATGCCAACATCATTTATAAAAAAATCTTGTACTAAATAATTTTTAAACTCTGTCCCATTATCAGTATTTAATCTGAAAGTAGGAGGTTTTACAATACCTTGTTGATATATCTTTTTGAAGGATTCTAAAACTGTTACAGCATCTTTACTTTTGAGTGGATTTCCATCCAAATTTCAGGTTGAGACATCAACAACTATATGAGAATATATATATAGCCTTCTGGGTCCATTGGATATTGCTGTAAATCAGAATCTTGTATAGCATTAGCTTTCCATACAACTACTTTTGGTTGTTCTGATCTTTTTACTTTTTTAGGCCTGATATGGAGATTGAAATGTTCTTCATTCTTTAGTAACTTAGGAGATATGCCAGATAATGAATAGTATTTATAGTAATGATCTATTGGTGATGACATTTTTATGTCTATTTGAAAATAATATATCGTAAGTTTAAAAGATGGCTCAAACTTATTGTGTTAAGTGCTGTGCCAAAACAAATTCCACATCTGAGAAATTGGAAACTGCCAAAAGTGGTAGGAAAAAATTAATTGGCAAATGTATTGTTTGCGGTACTAATAAACATACTTTTGTATCTAAGGATGGATTGATTAAATTAAAGACTCCTGCTGAAGAAGCTATTGCTAAGGGAAAAAAGGAAAAGGCCAAAGAGCATAAGAAAGCTGTAAAACTCGCTAAGAATATTCTAAATAATCAGAATTCTTAGTATTAGGGGAGTATGGCAGCTGATTAAAGCATTTTTCAAATTATTTTTTTGTGTAACATGTATTGTTTTTTTATGTGGGAAATATAGAGGAAATTGGTCCAATTGTCCAAGGGTTTGGTCTTATTAACGAATTTTTGATATAATTATTGAATTTGGTGTTCTAGATATGGATTAATACTTTCCTGGTATAAAAAAGTTGGTCCAATGGTCCAAGGATCTTTTCAGATATTATATATATATAGGTATAGGTATATTATAATGTTATAATTTTGTCCTTGGACCATTGGACCATAGATTGTTATTATTGATTTTGATGATATTTAGGAGTTAGAGAGTTAATTTAAGTATAATATATATATTTTTTGGTACTTTTTGATGGGTCAGACCTAGAGATGGGCAGATCAGTACTATACGTATAATACTATATGTATAGTGATACGTATAGTGCGTATAGTTCTAACAGGAGAGAACATACTGGGAACACAAAAATTAACAGGAGGGAATACAAAATTTTAACCCATGCAATTTTGTTGATTGACCAATTAAAAT